AAGTGGTGGACTATTTCTTTCATGCCACTATGATGCTGTTGCTGAGCAGAGGGAAACAATGCCCCCTTCCCATTTTTGTTGCCCTGCACTGGACTTTCTCCAATTTGTCCACATCCTCTCTGTAGTGGGGGGCCCAAAATTGAACAGAGTACTCCAGATGTGGCCTCACCAGTGCTGAGCAGAGGGAAACAATGCCCCCTTCCCATTTTTGTTGCCCTGCACTGGACTTTCTCCAATTTGTCCACATCCTCTCTGTAGTGGGGGGCCCAAAATTGAACAGAGTACTCCAGATGTGGCCTCACCAGTGCTGAGCAGAGGGAAATAATGGCAAGGAAGTATGAGGCTCCTGTGCTAGACTCTGATGTCAAGAGCATCTCATTTATTCAGTGCAGCTGAGAATGTTGCTACTTGCCAAGGAGTAAGGGAATGTAACACAAAAGACATTTTAAAGGTAAATAAATGAGGGGAGCATTGAATAAAGGTAATTTGAGGCTGTCTTCATCAATGTAAAGGTGGGTTATCTTGAAGTGAAATACATGCAACATAGCTGCATTACTATGGGTGCATCTACACATGCCACTATGGCACCATTGTTACTGCACCATCTTTTAGTACCAAAAGGAAGTACTAAAAGATGGTGCAGTGACAGCCCATACTGCTCTGTGTATGCTACACACAGTTATTTTTAGGTATTATGTCACCACAGCAATGCGCTATAATAGGGGAGTGCATTGCCACAGTGACGTAGCATCACGTGTAAATGCGCCCTGTAAGTCCTAAGTGTAGAAAAGGTACTTGTAGCAGTTAGGATAAGGTAGCTAGGCAAGATCAGCACTGTACTTCTCTCCTGTACATTGATCTTCTCTTGTTTACCTCATAGTAAAACTAAAATGGCTGGTATCTATTACGTTTTACAGTGAGAGAGTGATTATATATGTTAGTTATCCAATGGTAAATGCACATCTTTTGCAAGTTTCTTGTCTGTAAAGACATAGCCTTAAATGCAGCTGCTTCTACCATAAATAGCAAAAGGGCATAATCTTCAGAGGTGACAGTGAGGAATGTTATACAATGTTAGTTCAAGATAAGAGGCTGTAAAGCAGAATTCTTTGAACATGACACCCAGGACATCATAATAGCATTGATACTTGACCCTTGGCACCACATAACCTCACCCACATCCTTTGGATCCCTTTCCTAAATCCAGATAGTCTTCTGTGGCTGATTTCCTCCTCAGCCTTTATTCTACTAGCCTCCGTTTTTTATATATTATGAAAATAGAGGAATTAAAAACTATGTCAACAAAGCAAGCATATCTGTCACACTGCAAAACAGGGCTTCTTCAGTAATTTTCAGTGTGAGCCAGCAATACAGATGACATTGCTTGGGTAAAAGTATCAAGACATGTATATGATTAAGTCATCACTGTCCCTTCAAAATAACACCAATGTATTATGTACTTATTTGTTTCCTGCATTAGTGCCCAGGCTCCAGTCATGATGGGGTCTGAGTGATGCTTGGTAGTTAATGGATGCATCTGCACGTGCTGATTTAAGGCACATTAGCCATTTTTAAGGAGCATTAGGCAAATGTACATTAAGTTTAGGCATGTGTAAAAGGTAGGCCATTCTACCATGACAACAAGTGGTCTCCCCTCACTGTTGTGAGGGCCAGGCAGGGGAATGGGTTTCCTCTGGGAACCAGTGAGAACCCAGAAAGGACAGAAAGGCTCAAACCTCCCTCTCAGTATTGGTTCTTCTATTCAAGCTGATGAGGCAGGCACTAGCAAGGAGCAGAGGCATAACAGGGCAGCTCTGCACCCCGAGCAGCTGCAATGCATAGAGCAGCACCTGCTGCAGTAGTTCCAATGGTGGTGGCACAGTCAGCCATTGCAGGAGTGGTGGCTATTTTTGAACTCCCCACAAAGGCAGCTCCCAGGGCTGCAGGCCTGGTCACCCTTCTCAGTTTTCAAGAAAGACTCTTGCAACATCTACCACAACCTCAGCACCAGTGGGCACATGTACAGTGGGAAGGCTACCTGAGATCACATCTCCTATGTAATCATCAGCCATGTCATTCAGGGATGTGAACAGAAGAGTGTGATCCCTGACTGCCATATAGCTATCACAAGTTCCTAGTGTGGACGAAGCTGCATTGGCAAAACCTCAGCTTTACTGGGATGGCTGGTTTGTCCCAAATGGAAAAAAGTCATTTTACTAAACTAGTAGTACAAAGCTCAGCTGGTGAATATAAGCTGTGTCTACAACAGGAATGTTTTGCTGTTGCCATATCCCAGAATTCCTCTAGTAGCATAGTTCTCCTGGGATGGACGTAGCCTGGATGAGCAGGCTTAGAGAAGCCAGGATATTTTAATAAGCAGGGCTGGCCCTGGTACATCATCACAGCCTATACTGCAAAGAAGTCGCTATTATACCTATTGCTGTACACAGCTTTATTCCCAGATGGGATAAGCTATGCTGACAAAAGAACTGTGCCAGCTAAGGGTGTGGTTTTTCACTCTCCCAACAAATGCAGTGATGCCAGCAATACTATGTAATGTAGACCCTGGCTATAGGCACAGGTTTCTGCCATCTATTCTCTATTACAGCGTAACTGATTTTTGTCATAAGTCCAGCACTGTGCACAGAGCCAGTGTGCCAATCTGAGGGAGGAGAAACTGCTAGACAATCGTTTGGAAATACTGCACTCTGAACTAAATGCATTTCACCTAAAAATATGCAAGAGGGTCATTCTTGGATTTCTGGTGCAGAAATGGAGTCAGTCCATTTCCTTAATCATTGACCTCTTGGCTGAAATTCTCCTTAACAACATGAAAGGGATACTGTCTACAACCACAACCACATAATTAAGTTTCTACTAGAAGAATTCCATGCTCATATTCTTCACTGGTAACCTATAGCTTACTGCTACTATAAATATTTTCACATCGTTATACTGACATTCAAGCAAATTCTGGTTATACTCACTGGTTCATAAATCTCCACCATTTAGTAGCCCCATCAGTTCAGCTAGCTTGCTCCCATTCAGTGGTGTATAGACATTTCAATACACTGACACTTCTGTTCTTCAACTTTCTTTCTCAGATGTTTCCCATCTTCTGCCTTATTTTATAAAGAGGAAGCACATGTCTAGTCATCTCAGTAGAGCAAAAGTCATTTTCTTTCACTCTCTGATTTAAAGCTAGCCTGTGGTGCAAGGGTGGGACATGGAAGAGAAGGCAGTTGAGTTCTATCAGGGGAGGAAACAGGGAGTTCACATTCCTCAGTACATTAAAGTCATTACTGCCCCTGTCCACAAATGAAAAAGAAAGAAGAGATGCATCTCCCCTATTGCCAAAAAAAGATTCTCTTCATCTCCTCCTCTTTGAGCCAGAAATGTCAGCTGTTCCCTGTTCAGCTGCCCAAACAGCTTCCCTTTACAACATCTGAGGTCTTGTCTACATGAGAAACTTACCCACTTTCACTCAAAACCTGGGTTTAAACTGATGTGATTAAACTGTGCAAATTTCACGCACACACAAGACCTTTGCCAGATGTATACATCTGGGGTGAGGAATCCTGTCCTCGTGGATTTCAGTGGGATGAGGATTTCACCCATGCAGTGAAAAAATATGCAGTGCACTGAAAATCAAGAGCAGACTAAATTTAATGTGAGTCAATTATATTGCATTCAAAGTGTATTATTCATTTTCATATGAAAGTCAGTAATAACCATCTTTTAATCCCTGTAATCCGCTGCCAAGTTTCTAAATTGGTGCTTCCTACAAACCAGAGGACCTTGCTATTGAATTTAGATCCATCTTCCCCTAAAGCACGTGCAGTGTTTGTTAATAATACTTGTTTTGCACTTATCTATCCAAAACACTTTTCAAGCATTAACTACTGTAAACACAAGGGCCTTCCCTTCTGCAAGGTACATTACTGGCAAATTATTCTATATTGCACTAATTACTTTTATAGTCAAATAAAACTGATGATTATATATTAATTACATGTACAGTATGAAGCAGACAGTAAGCAACTGCTTACTGTATGTGTGGGGGTTTGGGCTTAAATTTGTGGACAGGATATTTATTGCTTGTACAGTTGTGAGATAAATTATTGGCAAATAGAAGCACAGATGGCTTTGCCCTAAGATCAGGCATCACATGCCAGAAATTATCTGGGAAATTGTCATTTTAAAAATAACTTTAGAACAAGTGCCAAGTTCTGTGAGATCTCTGTGTCGAATAAACAGATATAAACACAACACTGTCCAAAGCTAAAATATATTTGGATTATACCATGAAAAGCAGGAACAATTAACATTTATTCTCTGCCAGTAAAAATGAAATCTTTCCATATTTCTTTTGTGTGCTTTTAATCAGGAAGTAGAATCCATGCTACATTTTTGTGCATTCTTTAACTGCTTTGGAAAAAATGGACCAAATACTCATGCTCCAGTTTCCTAAAATTCAGTTGCAAGTTAAAGCACAATTATAGTCAAGTGATTTTTAATTAGTTCTTTAAATTTTTATCTTTAGGTTCTGTTTTTTTTCTGAAGGGAAGTACATCTGCATCTCACTGATTTCTGTTGTTCTAAAAGTCAGACTTTTCTAGTTTATTAACATGTACAAGTAAAGCTATTGTAAAGAATCTACAGTTATGGTAAATTTGCAGTGTGTTCAGTTTATACTGTTCATTACTCTCTAGTAACTGAGCAATGATTTTTATGGTATATTCCTACTCCTAATGGCATTCTTTCTTTTAATAGGAAGCAGTATTGTGTCATTTGGGCCATACAATTTCACTGCCATGAAGAGATAAGAACAAACTAGATGACATTTTACCATACCGTTTAAAACTTGTCCGTTGCTAAGGGGTGGGGGAGGGCTGCCATGTGTCAGTGACAAACCTCAGCTCCTCTCTCACCTCCCTCCACCTCCTTCTCTTTCTGAGACAGGAATGTTGATCTCTCATCCCTGTTATCTGTCACCTGTCTGAATCTGTCCTCATGTCACTTGCTTATATGGACAAGTTAGAATGGCAACTTCTGACGCTCTGCTGCTAAAAACAGCCTCAGCTCCCTTCAGCCTATCGTTTAAACAATATCCTCCAGCAAGAGAAACTCAAAGAACATTTGATCACACGAGCCTTGGAATTATTTCAAGGGAACTAACCCGGAAACTGACCAGTAGCACCCTTATTCTGAACATATGCACCTTGGAATAGCTAGGGATGAGCACCTCTTTGAATTACAAGTCCTTTTCCAAAGAGCAGCAAACCATGGATAACCTGGAGAAACAGCTTATTTGCCCCATCTGTTTAGAGATGTTTTCTAAGCCTGTGGTCATCCTTCCTTGTCAGCATAACCTGTGTAGAAAATGCGCCAGCGATATTTTCCAGGTAGGTTCATTTCAGCCTAAAGATCTGCCAGCCTGAGTTCAAATAGCACTTGCTCAAGGCAAAGAGAAGAGCAACATTTTACAAGATTGGCTTATTTACTGTTAATGATTGGCAAGCATTTAAAAAGGCATAAGTAAAAGCAGAACATAGAAAATTTCTTTGATGCGTGGCTTCCTTTGCATAGAGACCTTTGTGGTTTGGACTATATAAATTGTTATATGATGTTCTTACATACAGTGATCACAGAGCCATGGCAACTGTTCTGATCTGGCCCATTGTCTTTTGCATTTTGATGGGTTCCTGACATTTATTTACTTATACTAAATTCATTTTCAGCATTTACAGAGATTTAATTACGAATTGGTTTGTTTAATTATTATCTTTTTGCTATCTGTGTATCTCCAGGCAGATTGCTACAGTATTATTAGCCAGTAGGCACCAAGTGAAATAACATTACCTTACATATTTCTTTTGGGGTTTTTAGCCAAAAATCTCCAGTTAGGTTAGTAAAGAATTATTGGGCCTAATCCAAAATTTGTTGGACTCATGGGAGTCTTTTCATTGACCTCATTGGTTTTGGAGTAGATGTTAAATAGAGAGCTTCAGTAGCATAAGTGAGGTGGGGGGGTGACTGAGGTAGCTGCTCCGAACACTACCTTGGAGGGACAGCAGTGCAAAAATAGTCATGCCACAACATCAACTGAACACCCCACCACCACTGGGATGGTGGCGCTGCCCTGTGCTTTGCGGCTGCCACAGGTGTGCTACTACATCTCTGGGTGGCTGGATGTATGTCTTGTGTTCTGAACATTAAGGCTATTACCAGAACAATTGCAAAGTGTTTTAAGAAGGTATGCATGGCCTTATTCACCTATAATTTTATTGCTTGGCAAGAACAGGCCTCCAATCCATACCTCACAACCAGGGGAGGCACCACTGTGGCTTCAGGTGGTCGATTTCGATGTCCCTCATGTAGACATGAAGTAGTTCTGGACAGACATGGTGTGTATGGACTTCAAAGGAACCTTCTGGTGGAAAATATCATTGACATTTATAAGCAGGAGTCTACCAGGTAACGTACTCGTTTGTATCCTTAACAGAATGTTGACAGTACAAGCCGACGAAGCTTATGGTTGTGGAAGGTTCTCCCTTCCTTTCTTGCCTTTGTTTTATAAGTTGTTGGGTATATTTAGTTATTTTATCTTTTGGAGATGGTAGCGTTATCCCGTTGGGAGAATGACATATCATACATGCTCCTGTGTTTACAGTAGAATAAAGTCAACTCTTATTTATTTTATATCACTTGACCAAAAGCAGTGTTCAAGCAGGTGTTGAGCTTTTGCTTCTAGTGCTTATTCACATAAGTAATACTTAGTCATGGACACAGAGTTCTGGAAGTCAATCTGGTTAATCATATGAATTAGGACCACTTTATACTATAAACTTTTCAAACCCATATGTTCCACAGCTTGTCTTCAGGCATGTACTCCTAGGTTAATAAAATGTTGGCACTTGCTGAAAAGCCCTGAGGGACAATTGAAGCAAAAACAAATACATTTGAATTATATTCAGAAGCCAGCCCGCATCATAATAAATTGAATCATCAATATTTAAAAAAAGCATGCCTGTCAGCATAGGATGTGAACTAATGAAATCAAGTCTTATTTAGGACTCACTTTCTGTATAGAAGAGACTGAAAACGCCAAAAATAACAGTTCGTGACAATGCTGTGTAGCTGTGTATAGGAAAGCCAAAATTCTAGAGGAGAAGAATGGGTTAACCCTAACAAGTGAGATTAATCCTACATTACAGTCACTTGCAGCATATATATACATGAGTCATCTATAGGATAATATCATTGTTATTTTTGTTATCAAAGGATAGGTTGGGAGGGTGCTGATACTTAATGGATCACACTTCAACTCAGAGCTTAGGAAAGAAAATTGAAATAGTGGACCTGATCCTGTAACTTATGCCAAGCACATAATCCTTCCCTACAGAAGCAGTTCCACTGACTTCACTACAAGTGAGGGCTTGTTTATAGCAGTGGTTCTCAATCTCGTTCAACTCAAGGGACCCCTCAAAAAAAGCCAGCCCTGTTTTCACTGTTTGTTTTTTTTTACTACAGAAAAATAATAAGGCAATTCTTTTGTTGCAAACAATTCAGAAAGGCCACAAAAGGGCAGAATGTTTTTGATACTATAGGTTCCTATTTGAAATCTCTGGGTTTATCTTGTGAATCATGTGTAGATGCTTGCATATTGTGTGGCACCCTTATGCACCCTTTAAAGGATCTCACAACACACCCAGCAGGTTAGTCGAATCTTTGTCAGATATATATGCGACATGCAAAATGGACCCTGCCCCTTGGCCAGAAAACAAAAGAATGAAGGAACCCACAGTTGCAGTGAGTCCTCTGTCTTCAGTACAAAAGGACTCTCTTCAGCATGACATTTCTATGTTTGAAAGTGCAGTAGTGGCTGAGCCTTCTAACAGAGGCTGAATGTCTCCCAGAGCACCCACTGCAGTGCTGTGTCTCAACACTAGTGCTGCCGCACAGAACTGGGCCCACAAGGCATGATTCATGCTCAGACATTCAAACACATACCCAAACACTATTGTGATCTAGCTGTTTTTGAGGGTAGGTGTTCCTTCGGGGTGGAGGCTGCTGTAGGTGAGCAAAGCCTTGAGGCTAAGCACAAGGCCAAACCAAGAAGCTAGGCAGCACAAAGATGGTTTAAATCTGTCTTTCCCCCTTCCCTTAGAAAGGCTTCACCAAGCAGAAGCCATCTGCTTTTATGAATCTGCCCCTGTATGCATCAGTAAGATGCACCTGTTATTGCTACAGGGAAAATCACTGAGGAAATCATTCAACAAATCTGCCACGCTAGATATAGCAGTCAACCAAACAAGCTGATTCTTCACTTCCTGTATTTTTCTGTACAGTTGTGGTTAGCTCCAATAGCATGGAGAAGTGACTGAATTTTACTAAAGTTAAAAAAACCCTGGCAAATCACTTAAGATCTTTTACAGGTTCTTGTGGGATGACTGCAGAATAAAGCCATGGGACTCTGGGAAAAAAAACCAATGTGACACACTGCACCAAAGATCAGAAGTATATATGAAAAATGGTCCTGACCTCTGCAATTTGTCCAAAAGGGCTATTATTTTATATATGAAGGCATTTTTAACCTTCACTTGTGTCCTTACAGTTATGCTAATTATCAGTGCTGGCAGTGATACCACATAACAGCATTATCTAAGGTATTTAGCACTTTGTGTACTTCAGCTGCTTATCTCTTTTCCCCTTAACTTTTCTAAACTGCTGTGAGAATATGATCCTTCTCTCCCTGCAATTTCTTGAGCATTGGAGTCATCACCTGCTTGGGACACGATTACCTCAGTGGCGGTCTCAAGAAAAAGATACATCCCTAGCTCCCAATTGTACTCCGCATTAACACATTAACAGCAGGTTGGGCTCAGTCAGCAGAACATCCTAAAGGGCTGTGCTGCCTTGATGGATTAAAAAAAAAAAGATTTTTAAGTTGAGTGCTAAAAAAACACAAACAGATTTGCTGAAAAAAATTGATTTCTCAAAGCTGTGAAACCAACTGGGAACTGAGGTAGTAAAAAATCAGATTTTTTTTACATAAATTGATCTTTTATTTAATTCAAAGCCACCTTTCTTTAACAGTAGACCTACTTAACATTAAATTTGAGATCATGACATAGCATTGGGAGGGACCACTCAGATCATTACATCTGGCCACCTGTTGTCACATGGTATAACCACTTCCATGAACAGACCAGGCTCCAGCCAATGAGTATCTTTATGAAGGACTAAGCTTATAATCTATTAAAGTAATTTATATCAAGCAAAATATATTTACCAGCACAAATTTTGCTGCTGAAGGTTTAAAGGAGGTCAGACCCCCAACTAGTAGAAGTCACAGTTACCCAGCTGGAGCCAGAGTTGGATGAGATGCAAACCCAGCTTTTGACAGCGACAGCCTCTGCTGCAGGTACAAAGAGGATATTTTCTTCATTTCTGTTTATTCAACAAGTTCAGCACAATGACACTTCCTTTTAAAGTTGTGAAAACACTTGGAAACTGAGGTAGTAAGAGATTGGCTGTTAAACAGATCAGGAAGATATGGTTCCTCTACCATCTCTAAACTAATGACGGTGGATATCAGGGAGAGTGATGAATAGACAGATATAGATATACCTGGTTTGGTGCTCTCCCTTTAAAGCAGGGGTACTTAACCTCTTGCCCACGTGCCAAATGTGGCCAATGGAGCCATTGCATTTGGCCTGTGGGGGTTCTCAGGGGTTGGGAAATGTAGTGGCAGGGGAGCAGTGGCCATTAATACCGCCAGCCTCCCCTGCTGCCAAATTCCTATGTCCCTACCCCACCCCACCAGTCAGGTTGGAGCAAAATTATACCCCCTTCTGCCCACGCAGCCGAGTTGGGGCTGGGCCATGCCCCCTTCCCACCCCCCACCCCCCCATGCAGCTGAATGGGTGCCAGACCACACCCCCTTCCCCCACAGGGCTGGACTGGGGCCAGGCTGCTGGCTAACATAATTTAAATCAATCATTTACAGCATTCTGATTCAACGTCAGATTCAATTTGGGGCTGGACTCAATTCAGATTCAATTTTTTATTCAGCTGGACTGGATGATCTTAGGACGTCCCTTCGAGCCTTCACGTCTATGAAATCTATGAAACATCCTTCTAGGCACTCCCTGTCACTGCTTTCTGGTGTTCTCAGGGTGTCCGACAAGATGGGCTAATGTCTTTCAGGCCCCATGTGTACTTTACTGGCATGTATTTTGATTTTTCAGTGTAAATGAAATAACCAGTATTGTTACAGAACAAATTCCACGTGATGTAGGAGACTGGACAGAAAAGATTTTTGGCTTTGTATAAATCTTGAAATAGTCCCTCACAATTAAACAAAACGAATTACCAAAATTGGTTAACTACTCAAATGAATAGTGCTGTTGACTTCCATGGAGTTGTTCTCAATTTGCAGTGCTCTAATGTAGAGCAGAATTTGGGCTAGGGATATTAAACCTACTATAAAATTATGTTTATTAGAACAGCAGCTCTTTTTTATAGTCAGTCAAATTGTCCTTTAAATGATATACCAAGGTATATCCTCAGCTAATGTAACTCAGCATAGGGCCAGAAATGGAGCTAATTATGTTAACTAATTAAATATTAAGCTGTTAATAACAGCATGCATGTTTTCTACACTGATTTTGCATTTTTTTCTATGAACAGTTCAAAGCAGTCCACACTTTAAAGGCCAGATTCTGTGTGGGCATGTCTATACATGTGCTTTAATGCACAGTAGCCTATTCTATTGCACATTAAAGCGTCATGTCAAAAAGTGCTAATACGCTAATGTGCACTAGAATTAGTCTACTGTACATTAAGCATTGCGCCTTTATGTAGTACTTCATATCATGAATGCCGTGTGCCCCCGGAGGCTGTGGGGCATGGCAAGCTCCTGCAGGCAGTGGCGGCTCTGTTGGTGGTGGGAGCATGGCAGCGGCAAGCAGTGAGCTCCTGCAGGCACCCACATGCACCCCCTACATGTCGCCAATGCCTTATATTAGAGATAATAAACTTAATGCACAGTAGCAAAAGCACATTAACGAATGTATAGAAACACCCTGTGGATGCAGTACAGGAGTAAATAGATCTATTTGTCTGGCTTAAGAGAGCGGTAATCAAAGTATAATACTGAGATCAAGGACCCCAGTATTATTTATGAGTTTGTTCAGAGTTGCAGTTTTAAGGCCTGATCTTCTAAGCCATCTGAACAAGGATATTTCAGTGAATGACTGAGGATGTACATTTAAAGAAAAACTCTCCAAATGGATAGAGACAGATGAAACCTAAGTAGACTAGTAGAGTTTTGCTTCTGATACTTTCAAGGATAACTCTCCACCAAATTGAAGTCACCCGATATAGCAGTGGGGGGGAGGTATGTTTTCTATCTGCTATTTTTTGTACACCAGTATAATGTGTACAGTAGGATGCCAAACAATCACACTCCA